GATGCTGGTATGGGGCATAGCGGTGATCAGGATGCTGGTATGGGGTATGGTGGTGACCATAACGCTGGTTATGGGTGCTGGTATGGGCATGGCGGTGATCAGGACGCTGGTATGTGCCATAGCGGTGATCAGGATGCTGGTATGGGGTATGGTGGTGATCATAACGCTGGTATGGGTGCTGGTATGGGGCATGGTGGTGATCAGGATGATGGTATGGGGTATGGTGGTGATCAGAATGCTGGTATGGGGGGGTTGTATGGCGGTGATCAGAACTCTGGTATGGGGTATGGTGGTGATCAGGACACTGGTATGGGGTATGGCGGTTATCAGGGCGTTATGGGGATGGACGCTGGTATGGGTATGGCAGTAATCAGGGTGTTGGTTTGCGGTATGGAGGTGATCAAGACACTGGTATGGCGGTGATCAGGACGTTGGTATGGTGTATGGGGGTGTTTTGTGCACACTGGGATAGGTGACAGGGGCCTCCCTGCATTATTTATTATTGATACTGTGGGGGAGTGATCAGGGACACTGGGGTGACTGGCACTGCAGTATGTGAGGGTACAAACAGTCTGACAGGTCACTGTACACTAACACACTGCAGGATCATTTCTCTCTGCTCTCACACTGTACGCTGTCTACGTACAATTGAAGTATGGGAAGAGGTTAATGTTAATGAGGGAATCCTTTCCACAGAGCTATGTTCTCCCAGCGGGGGAATCCGGGAGAGCCGTCCCTGCTGGAAGAACACAATGACTATTGCTAGTGGCTATAGCCACTAGCAATAAGCCCATCCTAAAAATTCTGGTTGTACCCAGGTCAATCAATGGATCGATTTGTACAACCAGCCTACCCATACTTGGATCGAATCTTGGCCAGTCCGGCTAAGATTCCAACCATTTATGGCCGGCTTAAGGATAGGACTTTCGTTACTTCTAAATCAGTCATTTATTTTTCTCTCTACAGCTGTTATACTGATGCTTTTTTTTTTTCTTTTGTTTGCAGATGGTCCAGAAAACGTGAAAATAATTGGCCAGTCACTCAAAAATTCTGCCATTTTATTAATGTGTTCTGCTGATTCTGTCCACGGCCCACCTACCAATGGTTTAATGGAACATATTTAAGTGTCCAGGAGAGAATACATTCCATATAGATGGAGCAAAGTTGGACAATGAGATGACGTACACATGTGTGGTCAGCAACCCAGTCACTCAGCATACTGCCACGGCTTCTTTATATATGACGGCCAAGAACAGTAAGTTCCCAAGCATTTCCAGATCAATAAAGTACTATTCAGTAATGACAGGTTTACAGGTTACAATAAAGCATCTTTATTGACTTTTTTCAAATCAGTGTTTACAGCAAAACTACACGGCATCTGAGCATCACAAAACGAAAAACATTATTTCATTTATTTTTAATACTCAAAAGCAAACTCCCCCACCCATACATGTCTCCATGCTTTATTTTGCTGAGAAATTGCCTTGAAAAAAACACATCCTAGCATTTCTGGCTGTGGCCATCTTAAGTAAGGGCAGATGATTCATGTAGCTTTAACTTCCCAGAATCCATAATCTGCTCTTAGTTCATGCACACAGGCAGGAGTGTGCTTAGCTGAGAAAACCCCTCCTCCCCTCCTGAAGACTGCTGGGATGTATGACATCATTTGCCTAGGCAAGGAAACCAGGAAGTAACTGAAGAAATGTAAAAAATAAAAATGTTAGCAGCATAAGGGTTAACATAATCAATGTTAACTGAGAAAGTGAAGTGCATTGACAGCCCAGTGATTTTACAGTTCTGGGTAGGGGGCGCACACGCGCCCTACCCGTGCCGTCATTTGTGGCCTCGGCTGTCAATCACAGGGTCCTGGCTGGTGAATCCGCGTCAGCACCTGGCGATCGCCAAGTATCACCGACGGGGGAGAGACCTGTATATAAAACAACACAGATCTCTCCCCTGTCAGCTTCTGCATACTGCTTTGTATGGCTCTGCATAGCAGAGTCATACAAAGCAGTCTGCTTACAGTGTAAAGCACACACCCAGCACACAGTTAACCCTTTGATCGCCCCTCATGTTAACCCCTTCCTGCTCGGTTGCCATTAGTACAGTGTTGGTGCTTTTTATTGGTGTCACTGGAGATGTCAGTGACACCATGTCAGTCCCCCCCCCCCCCAGTGTCAGAATGCCTGCCGCAATCCCGCAGTCCCGCTATAAGTTGCTGATCACCGCCATTGCAAGTAAAAAAAAAAAATTCCAGTGTATATACCGCCATTTGTAAAACACTATAACTTTCACATAAACCAATTAATTTACATGTATTGCGATTTTTTTTTTAGCAAAGACATGGAGTAGAATACATTTTGGCCTAAATTTATGATGAAATTTGATTTTTTAAAATTTTTTTACTTGACGTATTTAATAGCAAAAAGTCCAAAATATTGTTATTTTTTTCAAAATTGTCGGTCTTTTTTTGTTTATAGCGCAAAAAGTAAAAACCGCACAGGTGATCAAATACCACCGAAAGAGAGCTCTATTTGTGGGGAAAAAGGATGGAAATTTCATTTGGGTGCACTTTGCATGACTGCGCAATTGTCAGTTAAAGTAACCGTATCGCAAAACAATTGGCCTGGTCAGGAGGCGGGTAAATCCTCTGGAGGGCAGGTGGTTAAGGGGGCGTGGCAGGGTGTGTGTTCAATAATTACATATTTTTGATAAAAGCTGTCCCTCAGAAAGTTGGGAGGTATGCATTAGATGCTGCTGTCTTGTTTTTTAACCATTAGCCGCCGGCCTATAGCCGTTTGGCAGCATCAAAAGCGCTTTAGCTTTCCGGGTGCATGCCATTTGGCGTGCTCCCGCATATGCGCAGTTTCGCGCGGTTGCAGAGCCGTGCAGAAGCGCGATCTGTCACCGGCGTGTACCTCGGACACGGCCAATGACAGATCTGAGTACCGGCTCCCGTTGCCAGTACATGTGACCTGCTGTGACCAATCACAGCAGGTCACATGACAGTTGTATACAATGGATGGCTTCATTCATGCCATCCATTGTATACTAGTGCCTAGCTGTGAATGGTCACAGCAGGTCACATGCACATGTCATGTGATTAGCTGTGGCCAAATCACAGCTAAGCACAAAAAAAAAAAAAAAAAAAAAAACCTGAATGAATCGATTTCATTCAGGTAAATGCTTGCTTATAGCAAAGTAATTCTTTGCTATAAGCAATTTGTGTTAAAAAAAAAAAAAATACTGATCACTTCCCCAAAGTAGTACAATGTTACTATGGTAAACATTGTACTACTTTGGTCATAGTAAAATATGAAAATAAAATCTTAAAAAAAAAAAAATTTAATAAAAAATTAAAAATAATAAAGAAATAAAAAAAAAAATTTAAAAAAAAAATATTTTTTTTTTTCATACTGTCACCAGTCAGTGTCCCTGATCACCGCCATGCCAGTTATATGACGACGTTGTACTGCACTGGTGACAGTATGTAAAAAAGAAATAGTGAAAATAAATTTTTTTAATTTTTTCATTTTCCGAAAAATTATGACAAAAAAAAAATAAAACTTCAAAAAACTCGCCATTCCTCTTATGAAGTACGTCGGACTGTCTACTCTGCAAAAAGGGGTCATTTGGGGGATATCTGTACTGTTCTGACATTCTTGGACCTCAAGAAATTAGATTGGCTATCAATACTTCAGGATTGATCAATATTCAGATCTATCCCATAGTTTTGTGAACTCTATAACTTTCCTACAAACTAAATAATACATCCTAATTTGGGTTATTTTCACCAAAGACATGTAGCAGAATACATCTCGGCCTAAATGTATGGAGAACAATTATTTATTTGTAAACTTTTATAACAGAAACAAAGAAAAACGAAAAAAAGCGAAAAAAAAAAACCCCTTAAAGTCAGCCTTAGATGGTTAGACCCTCGGCCGGTTTAAGCAGGAACCATCCAAGATTTGAACCATGTATGGGCAGGCTGAATGTCCCCAAGTGATTGATCAATCAACTAGGTAACAACCAGCCTGCTGGATTTTACATGCAATTATCGCTAGCGGGTGTTATAGCTTCCCCCGCCCCCCCATCGGGAGAACACAATGGCTTGGTGGGAGGGATTCCCCTGTCAACCCTGTCTATGATGATGGGGAAATCAACCCGTGGTTTCAGGAAAGACATTCTCACCCTCTATGGCCTGCCTAACTCAACATCAATCCATCAGCATTGACTAATATCTGAGGCTTAGGCTTAATCAATGCCACAGTAGAAGGTTGTCATTGTAAATGTTTTGGCTAAAAACTTATGGAAAGCCACACATTTTTGTGAACACATTAACAAAATAATTCCAGAGTATTGTAAAGACATCTGCCTTTGTTCACCATTCCTTGATGTAGAGAGTTTTTTTTTTTTGTAACAGGTAGGGTAAATCCGCAAGATACGTAAATTGCATTATTATTATTTGCATAAAAAACCCAAAAATCCCATTCCAGCAGGAAAAAAACAGAGTCTCTCTGAAGAACCACATGCTCTGGATTCCCCAAGGATTGCAAAATTTTAGAGGCCTTATGCAGGCCATAGACGGGGAGAAAAACGGCCGATTTTTCTTTTAAAAAAACGAAAAATCGGTCGTTCAAGCGGCCGACGTTACCAGCAATGGTAAAAAAAAATCGGCCGATTTTCATCCCGTCTACAGCCGGCAAAAAGTGTCCCTGCAGAGAGCTCTGCTATTTCTTTGACAGTTCTCTGACAGTTCTTTGACATTTATAGCGGTTGCAACAATGTATCTATTTGTATCCATTTAGGATACAGATGTTTTTATTCGGAAACAAATAGATATATTGTTGCAACCGCTGTAAATGTCAAGGAACTGTCAGAGAACTGTCAGAAATAGCGGAGCTCTCTGCAGGGACACTTTTTGCCGGACTGGAATTCCTCTTATTTTTCATCCTTCTTCTTCTTCATCATCATCATCATCCTCTTCTTCTTCATCATCATCATCCTCTTCTTCTTCACCATCATCATCCTCTTCTTCTTCTTCATCATCATCATCCTCTTCTTCATCATCATCATCATCATCATCATCATCCTCTTCTTCTTCTTCATCATCATCATCCTCTTCTTCTTCATCATCATCATCCTCTTCTTCTTCATCACCATCCTCTTCTTCTTCTTCTTCTTCTTCTTCTTCTTCCTCTTCTTCATCATCATCATCCTCTTCTTCTTCATCCTCTTCTTCATCATCATCATCCTCTTCTTCTTCTTCTTCTTCATCATCCTCTTCTTCTTCTTCTTCATCATCATCCTCTTCTTCTTCTTCTTCATCATCCTCTTCTTCTTCCTCTTTTTCTTCATCATCCTCCTCTTCTTCATCATCATCATCTTCTTCTTCGTCATCCTCTTCTTCTTCTTCGTCATCCTCTTCTTCTTCTTCATCATCCTCTTCATCATCCTCTTCTTCTTCTTCATCATCCTCTTCTTCTTTTTCTTCTTTTTGTCTTCCTCTTGCAGGTCACTGCTCATGCGCAGATTTTTTATCGGTAAAAAATCGGCCGATTTGCCCATCATTGCCGCAAAAAAATCGGCCGAATCGGCAAAATCGGCCGATTTTTTTTCCAACTTTACCGATAAAAAAAATGTGCCAAAATACCGGAAAACGGCCAAACAAATAGCCCACTAACGATCCGAAAATCGGACGATTTTATTTTCGGCCGAAAAATCGGCCGATTTTCGACCCATCTATGGCCTGCATAAGTCATGGCCCATTAAGGGTGCCGGCTTTTTCTGTGGACTGTATAGCTTTGGTTATTGAAGACCTTCTAGCCTGAGCCCCCGGTACTTGGAGCTGTGGATTGAGGAGGAGCTTGCAATGCTGTCTCACCTGTTATAGCCCCTGATTGTTCCAGTTTCTCCAGAACCCAGAATACTGGGAATGCATTAGGGTAAAACATTTCTAACTTTTAGTAAAGCTTTAAATAACTTGTCCACAGCAACAAAATATAACACCAAAAATATATCCTAGCCTATTCAGGTCAAGCTACGCTTAAAAAATCCCTTTCTAGCAAAGAAATCTCCCCAAAAACTGTATTTATGACTTTCCAAAGCTGCTGTGACACAGAGTCTCTCTACAGCACAACATGCTCTGGATGCCCTAAGATTTTAGAGGCACTTTCAAAGGCCATTGTCTTTAAAAAGTGCTCACTGCCCCCGATTCTCTAGAACCCAGAACTAAGGCTTTTCTTCAGTGGGAACGCAATTCTAGCATCTCCAGCATTGGATGTATGCAATGGCCCTGACCTTCAAGGGGTGTACAATCTGAGGTCCCTAAATCACATACACATACTAGGGCCAATTTAAAAAGGATCCAATTAACCTACCAGCATGTCTTTGCAGTGTGGGAGGAAACCTGTGTACCTGGAGGAAGCCCACGCAGGCACAGGGAGAACATGCAAACTCCAGGCAGGTGGTGCCGTGGTTGGGATTTGAACCAAAAACCCTAGTACTGCCAGGTAGAAGTGCTAACCATTTAGCCACTGTGCTGCCCAAATCTTAGGCTAGGTTTACACCTATGCAGGTTGAGCCGATTCTGCACTGTGTTTTGCGTTTCATTTTGCGTTTTTGTACCTGTGTTTTTGCCGAGTTTTGCTTTTCTTTTTAATTTTTCTTGTTGCTAGGCAGATTTAAAATGCAAACGCATCCAAAACACAGCAAAAACATTGCAAAAATGCAGCAAAAACGCAATAAATGTTTTCTGCAACGTTTCCATTGAAGTCTATAGAACCAAAAACATAACTTTTTGCATTCAGAAAAGTCCCTGACCCTTTCTAAAAAACCGCACCGGGTGAACACGCACAGATGTGAACATGTCCCATAGGAAATCATGCTAAACGAAAACGCAAAACGCTGCAGAAATGTTTAGGTGTGAACCTAAGGTAACCCAAGCTCAACTGTTGTATTCACCACATGAAGACAGGAGACCGGTGCACTGACTGAGGTGTCCACTCCCAGTAGCAAATATCCGCAATACATGTAGCCGGCAACTCTGAAAGCTTCTTAATGGAAATCTTTATTGGTACATAAATACAGGACCCATAAACTGACGTGTTTCGGCTTCACAAAGCCTTATTCATAGCATACATACCAATAAGGTTTTTCACTAAGAAGTTTTTCAAGTTGCCAGCTACTTGTATTGCAAATATCTAATCTAGTCTAGCTCTTGCCCATATAGTTATGCAATTCTTATAATAGTTAGAAAGGCAGACATTTAACTCTCTATGTGCTAAAGGATTTTTTTTTTTCTATTAAACATGTCATACTTATCTGCTCTTGGCTCGTCCCCCCTGATGAGTGCCCCCATAGCAAGCTACTTGTTATGGGGGGCACTCGTGGGGGCTTGATCCTGAACTGTGATGTGTGTGTCCATTGACAGACACAGTGCGGCTCGGCCCCAACTCCTGCTCTCTCTTTATTGGTTGTGATTGATAGCAGCAGGAGCCAATGGCTGCTGCCTCCATGTCCAGGGAGGAGAGAGAGATCTGCTGCTCTAGGACACAGTGGTGGATCAAATTAGTCTTAGGTAAGTATAAGGTAAGTATAGGGTGGGGCCTGATGTAGCCGAAGAAGATTTTAATCCTAATGCAGAGCATGCATTAAGGTACAAAACTTTCTACCACTTTCTACAACCACTTTAAGTGACCCCCCACCCCAAAAGTGACAGATCCCATGAAGAGGTACTGTCAGCAGTTATACTTGCAAGCTAAATCCAAATCTTCACTGATGTCCATGTGATATTTCATGTCTGTTTGCCATCGGCTGTATTACCTGGTGCGCCTTTATCAATAAGGTAAGTGGGATGGTGGATTGCTGTATGAATGCCATCAACTCTCATGTGGGCGAATATCTAATAATTCTTCCTTGGGTGACCTGCCCAGTGACTTACTGATATAAAAAATACCCCTTAAGGCCCATTCACACTATTGCATTGCAGTAACATGTGCAACCCACGTCAACACACATTTCATGTGTTGGTGCACTAGAACAGGGGTCTCCAAACTTTCTGAACAAAGGTCCAGTTTTCTGGTCTTCTGACTTTAGGGGGGCTGGACTGTAACCAGTGGGAGAGGAAAATGCAGCAGAAATAGTGCCCAATCATTGGTGTCAGTAGAAAGAATAGCGACCTATTATTGGTATCAATAAGAGGAATAGCGCCCCAACACTGGTGTCAGTGGAAAGAATGCGTCCCCAACATTTGTATCAATTAATAAAATTTGCCCCAATATTGGTGTCAGTGGAAGGACTGGTGCCCCAACATTGGTGTCAGGGAAGGACTGGTGACCCAACATTGATGTCAGAGAAGGACTGGTGACCCAACATTGGTGTCAGGGAAGGACTGGTGACCCAACATTGATGTCAGGGAAGGACTGGTGCTCCATCATTGGTGCCAGTGGCAGTCGTAGTGCACCATCGATGGTATCAGTGGGAGGAAAAGTGCCCCATCTTTAGTATTAGCAGGAGCAATAGTGCTCTATATTTTATAACTGTGGATGGAATTATGCCCCATTGTTGATGTCAGTGACAGGAACAGAACCCCAATGATGGTACCATTGGGAGGAAAAGTGCCCCATCTTTAGTGTTAGTGGAAGTAATAGTGTTCTTTAGTTTATATCAGTGGATGGAATTATGTCCCAATGTTGGTGTTAGTGGAAGGAATGGTGCCTCATATCAGTGGGAGGGCCAGATAAAGGCAATCAAAGGGACGCATCTGTCCCCTGATCTGCAATTTGGAGACCACTGCACTAGAAGATACCAGTGTACCATGTGTTGGCCGGGCTACTTGTCCATTTCAGAAGTATTACCATGCTATAGCTTTGTCACCTTAGGAATGGAGGTGCCCGTTGGTAAACTATGCTGCAATGATTTACAGTAACTGAAATCTGGACATATAGAAAAAAATAAACTCTTTGACATTATAGGAACTTGTCCTATAATAACACATTCGATTTAAGTATTTGGGTTTAGATACACTTTATTATTATTTTTTGTTCAGTGACAATTATTTTGTTAATTTACATTATATGCTTTGCTAACCTTATAATTTACCATTTCCTTTGTTATTTATCTCTATTTCTCCTATTTTGTCCCACAGCTTCAACACTATGTCAGACCTCTGGACGTGGACTTGGCGGTGGGGAAATTGCTGGAATTGTCATCGGCACAGTGTTTGGGATATTCCTCCTTGAAGTCATTGTGTACTTTGTTCTAAAGGCAAAAAGAAGTATAAAATTTTTCTTGTGTTTGAGTAAACTTCATCATACTGCATCATTTACAGCATATTTTTGATTAGATCAGCACACATTGCAAAAATTATGTAAAAACACTTGAATAAGGACATATTGAAAGGAAAGTAATTGGTCAGATATTCCAGTCAAAGAGTTCTACAGGAGGTTCAGATCAAATCTGGGTCTGACCATAGCTGCTGTGTACACATAGAGACAATATTAGATAATATACAGTGTATATATAATATATATATATATATATATATATATATATTAGATTTTATATATATATATATATATATATATATACATACACTGTATATATATTATACACACACATATATAGAGATACTGTATATACACCCTATAACTATATAAGCATTTATATATATATATACTGAATATAAAATACACACACACACTTGTGCTCAAAAGTTTGCATACCCTGGCAGAAGTTGTGAAATGTTGGCAGTTATATTGAAAATATGAATAATTATTAGTGATGGTCTGAAGACCCCCCTGTTTAGTTCGCGATAGAACATTCGAACCTAAAGAAAGTTCTACCGCGAACATTGAACATAATGCAAGTCTATGGGACTCGAACTTGTAATTTTCAAAAGTGCACATTTTGAAGGCTTATATGCAAGTTATTGGCCATAAAATTAGTATGGGGACTTGGATACCGCCCTGAGGGACATTTAAAACAGTTTTTAAGGGGGAAAGCATTTTTCATTGCTTAAAGTGAAAAAAAAAATGTAAAGATTCCTTTAAATATCATGCCTGGGGCTCCCCTTAAACTACCTGCAAAGTTGCACATCTGTACAATGTATAAAACCTGCTGCAGCAGGACTGACATCTTTTCTAAGAAAAAACACAGCGTGGGGGTCCCCCCCTCTTTATCTATACCAGACCCATTAGAGTGGGGTTCCCCCTAAAACCTGTACCAGGCACTTTAGGCCTGGTAGGACTTTTAAGGGGAACCCCGCACCCCAAAAAATGATGGGGAAAGCATGGGGTCCCCCCTAAATTCCTACCAGACCAGAGTTTACATACTCTGGAATGTTTGGCCTTGGTACAGACATAAAGGTGACATACCTTGCCATTGGTCAATTTCCCACATCTATGGCTTTTTAAATTGCAATTAGTGTCTACGTCAATAGTCAATGAGTTTGTTAGCTCTTACATGCCTGCACCGAGTAGGCTAGATACCGAGCCATTAGGATCAGAAAAGAACTGTCAAAAGACCTGCATAACAAGGCAATGGAACTTTATAAAGGATAGGAAAGGATATAAAAAATGTTCAAAGCCTTGAATATGCCAGTTAGTACTGGTAAAT